TTGGAGATAGGGTCTTGCTCTGTTGCCTAGGCTGGAGTGCAGTGGTCTGATTATAGCCCTCTGCAACCTCAAACTTCTGGGCTTGGCTGCGCACAATGGCTCACACCTGTAAACCCAGCACTTTGGGAGGCCAATGCGGGCAGATCACGAGGTCAGGAGATCGAGATCATCCTGGCTAACACAGAGAAACCCTGTCTCTACTAAAAATGCGAAAAATTAGCCGTGTGTGGTGGCACGCGCCTGTAGTCCCAGCTACTCGGGAGGCTTAGGCAGGAAAATCACTTGAACTCTGGAGGTGGAGGTTGCAGTGAGCTGAGATTGTACCACTGCACTCCAGCCTGGATGACAGAGCAAGACTCCATCTCAAACAAACAAAAATTCCTGGGCTCAAACGATTCTCCCACCACAGCCTCCCAAGTAGCTAGGACTACAGGTGCATTCCACCATATCAGGCTAATGTTTACATTTTTTGTAGAGATGACGGTCTCACTATGTTGCCCAGGCTGGCCTCGAACTCCTGGCCTCAAGTGATTATTCTGTCTCAGCTTCCGAAACTGCTAGGAATCCAGGTGTGAGCCACTGTGTCCAGCTAATTAAGGTCCTGTTAATATTATTTCCCCATTATATTATTTCTGGATATAGGAAAAATAAAACAAGTCTGGCACAGAGAACTCATTTAGGAGTGTAGCTTAGTATTTACAGTGCAGGCTTGGGAATTAGGCTTCTTGAGTTTACATCCTGCCTTTACCAATTTCCTTAGGCATACATTTAACATCTCTCAATTGCTTCTCAATTTTCCTCATTTATAACATGGGTACAGTAAGTTGTGTTAAGATGTACATGAAATAGTGCCTATAAAGTGTGTAGCCCAGTGCGCAATACATAGTGAGCATTCCATGTAATGTTACATGCTTATTAAGCCAGTAATGATTATGAACACTATTAAAGAAAGTTTCTCAAAGGCTAAAAGCAGAGCCCACAGAGAAGAGGTAGATGCTTTTTAGTGTTCAGAGAGGGCTAGATTTCTTCTGACAGCCCATCTTGAGAAGTGGCTGCAGGTTCAGAGGCTCCTAGGGCCGCTGTATCAACCAAGAAGACGCCCACAGGAGCTTCAGAGGACCTCTGCTGAGGGAAACTCCCATCAGAAACCAGGGTGGGAGGGGGGGCGCGGGAAGAGAGAGCGGTTGAAAGGCAGGAAGCCCCGAGCCTGCAGGAAACATTAGGTGGAGAAACAAAGTATGCTTGTAAAAGCCCACTCAGGACAAGAGCTTGAGACTGAAAACTTGGAAGCAGGGAAGGGAGCTCCAGGAGAGTTCAAAGTAACTCACTACTCTAGTTATTTCTGATATCTTTATTCTTTTCTCTGATTATCACAAATAATACATTGGTACTTTATAGAACCTTATGCAATGCAAATAGCAAAAGAATTCCTTTCCACGTTTTTTAAATCTCTTTTTTTTTTTTTTTTTTTTTTTTGAGACAGGGCCTCGCTCTGTCACCCAGGCTGGAGTGCAGTCGTACAATCACAGCTCACTGCAACCACAACCTCCTAGGCTCAAGCAATCCTCCTGCCTCAGCCTCCCAAGTCGCTGGAATTACAAACACAGACCATCATGCCTGGCTAATTTTTTTTTTTTTTTGAGATGGAATATTGCTCTATCGCCCAGGGTGGAATACAATGGTACAATCTCAGCTCAGTGCAAACCTCTGTCTCCCGGGTTCAAGCGATTCTCCTGCCTGAGCCTCCTGAGTAGCTGGGATTACAGGTGCCTACCGCTGTACCTAGCTTTTTTGTATTTTCAGTAAAGACGGGTTTTCACTATGTTGGCCAGGCTGGTCTCAAACTCCTGACCTCAGGCAATCCACCTGCTTCGGCCTCCCAAAGTGCTGGGATTACAAGTGTGGGCCACTGCACCCAGCCTGCATAGTTACTTTATTTTTTGTAGAGACAGGGTTTCACCATGTTGACCAGGCTGGCCTAGAACTCCTGGGCTCAAGCAATCCTCCTGCCTCTGCCTCCCAAAGTGCCGAGATTACAAATGTGACCCACGGCACCTGGCCCTAAAAACATTTTTATTGAGGCGTAATACATACAGAAAATGCACACGTCATATTTAGTGAATTTCTCAAAGTGAATATACTCATGTAGCCCACACCCAAACCATGGCATAACTTATCAGAACACCAGAAGTCCCTCTCTTCCAGTCATTACTAATCCCAACAGGAGTCTTTCCTGATATTTTTTTTCGCCATAGTTTTGCCTGTTTTTAAATTTTAAGTAAATAGAATCACACAGTATATACTTTTTTGTGTGTCTGGCTTCTTTCACTGAGCAATATGTTTTGCAACTCATTCCTATGGATATTCAGTACTTCACTGTATAGATATATCCCCAATTTATTTATCCATTTTGTCATCAAATACTGATGTGTATTTGAATGGTTTCCAGTTTTTAGTTATTGTAAATAATGCTTGGATTACTCTTGTGCGTAACTTCTGGTGAACTCATTTCTCTTGAATCCCCAGGAGTGGAATTACTGGGTAATAGGATATGCATACGTTCAGCTTTAATAGTTACTAGTGCCTAAAGTCTTAAAAGGATATTCAAAGTATATACAAGATCTCTGTGTGGGCTCCTGGAGAAACTTCAGAATGTCACAACTCTGCAAGGGAAGAGGACGAGGAAGGGGCAGTCCAGTGGCACTTGTCCAATGCCACTGGGCTGCCCCAATCCACCTGTGGACTGTCCAATCTATCAAGACACATGACATGCCCTGAATTCCACTTTCATCTTGTCACTGCCATCCACATTCCCCAACAGAGACCCCCTTTATAAATCCAACCACACTTTCAGGGCAGCATTGGATTGCATGTCTGTCCACTTGCTGTCCTTAGACTGGATTTTATTTCCTATATTCATTCATCCAGGTAACAAATATTTAATGCCTACAACTCATTTGCATTGTTTTAGAATCTGGGACAGGAGCAATGTACACCTCTCTACCCTGATGGAGCTAACATTTTCATAGGAGGAGATGGACCATGAACAAATAGGAATATGTTAGTGGTGATAAGGACTATGGAGAAATATAGAGCAATGTAAGAAGAGAAAGAGTGGGATGGGGGAGGAATGTGCTATTGTTTAATAGGGTGGTCGGGGAAGGCCTGCAGAGCAGACAAGATCTGAAAGACATGATTACTCTGGCCATTATGCTGGAAATATGTTATACAGAAGGAAGATGGAACTAGAAAGGCAGAGGCCATCACAAGAGTGCAGACATGAGATGATGCTAAATTGGACTGGGTGATGGTAGTGGCAATGATGAGAAGTGGTTGCATACAGCATATATTCTAAAGGTAAGGCTGACAAGATTTGCTGATGGATTGGTTGTAGAGCAAGAGAGGGGAGTCAAAATGCCTTGTTCTTGCCAGGAGCAATGCCTGTTTATATGTACAACATAGGAATAAGTCCTGAGTCCAGGGCCTGTTGACTGAATAGGTGGATGTCTTCCCTGATTATACCTAGCTAAACATGCTGTATGAAAGATCTGTTCTTTCTTGTCTCAGAGAGAACATGGTATAAGTACTAAGACAAAATAATTGGAGCCAGACTCGTAGTCCCATCTCTGTCACTTACTAGCTGTGTATCCTCAGGCAAGTTACATAACAATTTTGAGCCTGTTTCCTCTTCTGGAAAAATGGAACAGTAATAGTACCTGAATCACATTATTGTTGTGGTAGTATACATAAATAGGCCTGGCATAGAGCCTAACATCAAGTCAGGGCTTAGGAAATAACTAAGTTAAACCAGTTCCCAGTTAAAACAGACAAAAGGCTATGGAATAAGGGTTATCTTTATTTGGATTGAAAAGTATAAATATGAACCAGGTTTGGAAATACAAGTTGTAACAGTTCAGAAATGGCACCAGAAACTTCCAGAAAGGACCATGACAGCATACCTTCATCATTTTGGTGAGGTGGGTGGGATTATACAAAGCCTTCCCCACCTCCAACCTTCTCGGTAGCAATTGGCAGGTAATCAGTTACCAAGAACAGTCAGCTCCTGTTCCTTCTCAGTCTTTTGCTTTGCTAATACCTTCTCCAGACTGTCGTCTGCTGCACTGACCCCTGCATGGAGTAGCACCAGAAGAATGGCAGGAGTAAGAGAAATGTCTTGACACAAGGGAAAGTGAGTTCCCACACTGAGGGCTGGGGCTGTGGGGGTGAGGGACAGGAAAGCTACAGGCATGGAAGCCCAACCTCTTCTGAGACTTGGCAGGAAGAGGACACAGGGTGACACTGATATCCATTACACTTTGACATCAGCACCTTGGGCTTTCAAAACACAAACAGTAGACAAAATCGCCTAGGCAATACTGCAGTCCAACTCATAGAGTGGCTCTGACCAAGTTAAACCCCACATCCTTACCGTGCAGAGCTCCCCCAGTGGCACTCTGACCACGGAAGATCTGCCGAAATGTAGACAGACAATAAATTACTACAGATGGGTCACAGAACCATCCCAGCTTTGTGGCAAGGGTAGGTGGCACTGAGCCAGATTGTGGGGATGCTGGGTGGAGGGCCAGGAAATTGCCAAAGTAACAGTCTAGGCACTTGAAATATTATTGTTAGAGTGTTAAAAACTAAATAAATTAACATACATAGAATAAAATAAATATATAATTTAAGAGGCATTTACAAACAACAACAACAAAAATAGTTGTTATTTTTCCATCTAGGTAGAAGTCCCAAAATTCAGTTCTCAGGCTTGTGGTATTTCACAGTTAACTCATCAAATCCAGCGCTGGAGGGTCCCAGTGGCAGATTCCCTTGGTGGTACTTGAGTACCTGGCTTCTCAATCTTTGTTGCTTTCTTCCAGTTCACAAATCTTTCCTTCTTCTTCTTCTTTTTTTTTTTCAGTCAAAGATCCTGGAGTGTATGGAATTTAACCAACATTCTAATCCAGAAGGTAAGCGTCTAAACAAAATTATGAGGGGAAGTGGGGTCTGGTGAAGGGGAATCAGAAGGGCATGAAGTTCCCTTGCTTTTGCTTTCTTCTTACCCACATCCCACTGGACATATTCTGTTTGGCACTTGAAGGCTCTGGTATTTTGGCAAAGCAATTATGGGAGGCCCAATCCTAGACAGCGACTAGGGACAAAGGAGTCTTTGTGGCTATACGTGAAGTCCTTCCCCTCTGCAGTCTGCAATCACCTTGTGTCTTCTCAGAGGTAGCAGTCCCCAGCCGATTCCTAAAGCACAAAAGAAAGGCATTTAAAGTCAGGTCTAGTCTAAAGAGGTCTTAAGATTTTCCTGGTCCAGTCTTTTTGATTTTTTAATTTTTTTGAGACAGGGTTTTACTCTGTCACCCAGAGGAGGGGAGGGACGGGGAAAGGACAAGAGTGGGAGAAGCTGTCCCCTCAGGTGTCTCTCTTAGGTGTCTCTCTAGCAACTTTTACACTAAGTGAAGCATTGAGTCTTTTTGAAAATAATTCTGCAGTGGTATCCAAATGTCACAGTAGCCTGGCCCTCAACCCCTAGATGAAGAATTCAGCACCCACTGAAGCAGAGTGAGGACAGGGCACAAAGGATAATCATGTCAAGGGGCAAAGGATGGAGCATTACCTTGAGCACAAGTCTCTCTCAGTGGGAATTAGTCATGCCCAACTTCACTTTCTCTTCATTTTCCACATCATAACCTCCTCTCCTGTGGTACCTGAGGAAGATAAGTTTTGTGAATAAGCCCTGCCTGCTATGACAAAGTGCAGATCCAGAGCAGGTCCTTCCAAAGAACTCTGCCATGGTGGTTTCCTCTACTACTTGGAAAAGCCCAGATGGTAGGGCAGCCCCACCTGTGGTCAAAGGCCCAACTGCCCTGAGGGACGCCTGTCTTTAACAGCAGGCTGCAATTTACAAAGAGCTTTCACCATATTTATGTGATCCTCACAAAATCCTTATGAGGTAGGTGGACAAAGATTGCAGTCACTATAAGATTACAATCCTTGGGCCGGGCGCTATGGCTCATGCCTGTAATCCTAGCACTTTGGGAGGCTGAGGTGCGTGGATCACCTGAGGTCAGGAGTTCAAGACCAGCCTGGCCATCATGGTGAAACCCCATCTTTAAAAAAAAAAAAAAAAAAAAAATTACAATCCTCAGAGAGACAGTAACTTGTTCCAGGTCTCATGATAGATGAGTTGCACTGCTTGAAAACAGGCATAGAATGCTTGGTAAGTCTCCCCCAAGCTAGAGCATACCCAGATTAGAAGCAGGGCCTGAGGTCCAGATGCCTCGGAAGTGGAAGGATATACCACTAGCACCACCAACACCTTGACTACCAAACCACATACTAATGCCACCAAAGAACAGAGTCAGGAGAAAGCAATGTGTGACAAAGTGGCTCCGTGAGTGAGTAGCTGGGCCACAGAGGCAGGAAGAGAACTCCTGTGAGGAGCAGAACCTGGTATAGCCTGGCAAGTTTGACCCTAGGCTGTAGACATGGGACTCATGTCATGCCAGAAATACTAGGTTTTTGGAGAATCTACACCCTGGAGCTAGCCCATGATTTGGAGAGATTGAGGGAAGTGCATGTTATCATCAGGGAGAAGGCCCAGAAGGAAGAAGAATGGGAGTGATTTGCAGAAACAGCCTGCAGGGGACCCCAACACTCACCTAAACATGAGAAGCCCCACGATGACCAGCAGACAAACAGATGAGAGCACCACAGCCACCACGGCCAGGATGGTTGTGTGGTCATAGGTATATAAGCGATTTTCCACTGGGAGGCTAAGCCCATGACACCTCTCTCCATGATAACCCGGGTGGCAGCTAGTTCAAGACAGAACAAGAAAGAAATGGAGTTAGTACGTTGGCCTGTCTCTCTTGGCAAAGGCCCACCTACGTAAGCCAAACCCCATTCCTCACACCCTCAGCCTGTCAATCCCTGCCCATGATCCCTGCCCATCCTCCATCCTTCTCCTCCAGTAGAAAACTCTTTAAAGCCCATCTGAAGGCTCTGTAGCATTCCTCCTTCACTTAACACCCTCCCCTTTTCCATTCCTTTTGGTTCTCTGGGCTGAGATTCCTGCTCCAGGCATGGAAAAAGCAAGGGAGGACTTGAAGGCCCCAGCTAGATATGTTGTTCCACGTGTGGCTGATTTATGACATGTGTGTTCAGGCGTTCTGTTTAAGCCACTTATGAGGGCTTGGGCACAAGAGCTGGTAGGCTGAATTGAGGGGATTCAGTATCACTCCCTCCAGTGAGGCCCCTCAACATTCTGACCCAGAAATAAACCCAGCCTTGCCCATCGTGCTTCCAGCATCCAGTCCCTCTCCACTGCTGCCCAGCCTATTAATAGGCCCTGTGCCTCTGCCAGGAGTCGTTTTTCTCAAGTTTCCTTCATTTAACCCCAGCTCCCCCTGGGTGCAGAGCCTAACTTGGGAGCTTAACTTTGGCCTTTGGCCTCTGAACGCAGAGCTGCCAGGCCTCCTTCATCACAGGACAAAGCAAACAAATCAAGTAACATCTTTCTGCCCAGCTTCCCTGCCAGAGCATGGAAGAATGTCAGAAACAATCCTTTGGCTCTTCTCACTCAAGAAATAAATCACATGGCAACTGCCTTTTCTTTTCTATTTTTTCTTTTTTTTTTTTTTTGAGATGGAGTTTCACTCTTATCACCTAGGCTAGAGTGCAATGGCACAATCTCAGCTCACTGCAACCTCTGCCTCCCAGGTTCAAGAGATTCTCTCACCTCAGCCTCCCAAGTAGCTGGGATTACAGGCACCCACCATCACATCCAGCTAATTTTTGTATTTTTTAAGTAGAGACAGAGCTTCACCATGTTGGCTAGGCTGATCTCGAACTCCTGACCTCAGATGATCCACCCACCTCAGCCTCCCAAAGTGCTAGGATTATAGGCGTGAGCCACCATGTCCAGCTGGCAACTGCCTTTTCTAACACAAAGCATTTCCTTGAAGCTCTTAGAAAGACTCAGAAGTGCTTACAGTTGAAGAAGCACATTCACATCCTTTCCTTTAACTGAGCATCCCAGAGATCCTTCGATGTAGGTAGGATCCCATTTTACAGAAAGGTGGAGTGGTTTTCCCAAGGTCACACAGCAAGGCAGAAACGCAGATGTAGATGTAGACTGTCTGACTCTGAGCTCAGTGTGCTTGCCCACTCACACCCCACAACTGCCTACCCTTCAGCCAGGGAGTACAGTGGCACTGTCTGCCTGGGGACTTTAGACTACCAACTGCTGAAGAAGAACCTGGTGGCCCTCTTTTCTGAGCTGTGCTTTCTCTGGGAAGGAGGTGCTCTCTCTGGTGCCTCAAAGCAAGGAATCCCTTATTCCTGTGGACAGGCTCCCAGGGAATATCCAAGAGACAGACTCGTCCACAACCAGCAGTAGCAGAGGGGCCAGGCTGGGTGGCACCGTATTCCTGCCTTCTTGCCCTGCGCCTCTCCCTGCCCTAGTTCCTCCTGGGTGCTTTGAGAAAACACCTCACTGTAGGATAAATGTAGGTCAGGCCCACTATACACACAGCATAGTCCACAATTCCTTGCCCAGCCTCTCCATGTATCTAGCCCACCAGCTCATGTAGGCAAAAAAGCAATCCCTAACCTGCCAGGGCATGGAGGACACTTGCAGAAGCACTCCTGGAAAATCACTTGTGCACAGCAGTTTACCATTCACAAGCTACTAACCTTATCTACTAGCTCAGAGCCTCCTAACATTCTGGTAAGCAGGTGCAACCCCATTTTACAGATGGAAAACCAAAGATTAAGGGCCAGAAAGATTAAGTGATTAACCAAAAGCTGCACAACTAGAAAGCAGCAGGGCTAAGACTAGGAACCAGTCTTGGCAGATTCCACATTCATCATTCCTTCCACTCTGAACAATGCGGAACAGTGCAGGTGACTCCAAAGAAGCGTATCTGATAGGTTCTTGGGGGCAGTTTAACTCTTCTTTCTGACTATGTCATTATTATTTTTCATAACTTGAATAATAAAAAATAATAATTAGCAATCATTGAAGGCTTACCAATACTTTGTGCTAACTGCTTTACAAAGATTGTTTCATTTAAAACCATCTCTGTGAAGGAGGAGTTACTAGCCCCATTTTAAAGGTGGACTGAGGCTTAGCATTTGTTAAATACCTTGCCCAAGGTTACAAAGCTAGTGAGTGGAAGAGCTAGGATTCAACCCAGCAGTCTAGATACTTGAGAGACCTTGCTCTCCTGTGGGGAGGGAAGCTGAAGTTGAGTCTGTTTTTCACTTCCAGTCCATCATTCAAACCCCACAGGTAGTTACTCAGATGATAGAAATAAAGTTTGGCCTCAGAGTCTCGCAATTCAGTTACATAATCCCTCCTCCCCCACCCTGAGTCAAGGATAATAATGTAAACATCCTAATATTACCCACCTCCCCTCCCTTTGCAGACAACTCCTGGCTTCCCCAGGGAAGGAGGTGGGGATGAGTACATTCCAAGCATCCCAGGGTAGGGGCAAGATTTTGTGTCTTGTTCAGAGCCAGCCACCCCATCAGACTAGGACACATTCTTCCCACCCATGTCTGCGACTCATTTCAGAACTTGTATTACAACAGATGCAAGAACCCCCTAGGGTCCAGAGACATCTTCCAAACTGGATTTCTCCACCTTTACCCCAGGAGGTGGAGGGGACAAGTCTGGATGGAGGATACTCAGAGTACATGAGTTCCAGACTGGTTCAGCTGCTATTTCTAGCCAGATAATCTTGGGCAAGTCACGTTACCTTTTTAAACATTGGTTTCTTCATGTAAAACACTGGGATAAGAAATGCCTACCTCACTAGAGTATTGTGAAAAGATCAAATGAGGTAATACAAATGAAAGGACTTAATAAAGGCCAAGTCTCACATTGTGTGAGTTATTACATAATCAGACTCCAGAGGTTACTGCCCATGGCCTGAGGAATGGGGCGCCCAAGTCAGATGGAGCCAAGAGAAGGGGGCTCGCCATTCCTTCTTAGCCCCTGGGCAGTGAGGCCAAGTACAGCCCCCTGGCCTGTCTCTCCTTCAGCTCTGAGTCCTCCTCAGCCCAAGCGTCCCAGGTTTCCTCCAGCCACAGGAAACTCCGCAGCCAATTTTTGGATCAGCAACCAGTCAGAATACCAGGAAACAACTCTTTGAGGGCAACTTTTGACTGGTGACACAAAAAGGGTTTTCCTGTTCATGGTGGCTGCAAAGGGCTGGTTTAGGAAGCCAGCTAGCCTCAGGCTCACCACGGCAGCCTGGACACACCCTGGCTAGTGGTTCCTGGGTCTGGAGGCAAAGAGGAGGCACAAAGTTCCCCAGATGAAGGTGCACAGATGTCACATTCCCCCAAACCAGGATTTCTTTGTCTTCTTGCTGCTTTCTGCCCTGGGTAGCAAGGGCAGGAGGCAGTGGGGGGCCAGGCCATTCATGCAATCCACCCCGTGAAAATCTTCCCAGGAAGTGGCTCATGCCTGTAATCCCAGCACTTTGGGAGGCCAAGGCAGGCAAATTACTTGGGGTCAGGAGTTCAAGATCAGCCTGGCCAATGTGATGAAACCTCATCTCTATAAAAATATAAAAATTAGCCAGATGTGGTAGTGTGCACCTGTAATACCAGCTGCTCAGGAAGCTGAGGCAGGAGAATCACTTGAATCTGGGAGGCGGAGCTTGCTGTGAGCCAAGATTGCGCCACTGCACTTCAGCTTGGGTGACAGAGCAAAACTCCATCTTAAAAAAAAAAATGGCCAGGCATGGTGGCTCATGCTTGTAATCCCAGCTCTTTGGGAGGCTGAGGTGGGCAGATCACCTGAGGTCAGGAGTTCAAGACCTGGCTAAAATGGTGAAACCACCTCTCTACTAAAAATACAAAAATTATTAGTCGGGCATGGTGTTAGGTGCCTATAGTCCCAGCCACCTAGGAGGCTGAGGCAGGAGAATCACGTGACACCAAGAAATGGAGGTTGCAATGAACCAAGATTGCACTACTGCACCCTAGCCTGGGACACAGAGCAAGACCCTGTCTCAAAAAAAAAGAAAAAAAGAAAAGAAAAGAAAAAGAAAATCTGCCCAGGAAGCTGATACGAAGTTTTCAAATCAGATCGCTGTTCTCTTAGGCTAGTAAAAGAATAAGAGACCTCTAGGACAACAGCTGCCCTCTGCCCTCTGTAAAATGCTGCTCTAACTCTATAAACACAGATACAGGAAAGAAAGATGACAGCCAGGGGCAGTGGCTAACACCTGTAATCCCAGTACTTTGAGAGGCCGAGGCAGGCAGATCACGAGGTCAAGAGATCGAGACCATCCTGGTCAACATGGTGAAACCCCGTCTCTACTAAAAATATAAAACAAAAAATTAGCTGGGCATGGTGGCGCATGGCTGTAGTCTCAGCTACTCCGGAGGCTAAGTCAGGAGAATCACTTGAACCCAGGAGGCGGAGGTTGCAGTAAGCCAAGATCGTGCCACTGCCCTCCAGCCTGGCAACAGAGTGAGACTTTGTCTCAATAAAAAAAAAAAAAAAGAGAAAAAGAAAAGAAAGACGAAAGCCAACACCCAGTGCAGCCTGAGGGCAGGAAAAGCACCCTGGACTAGGACTCAGGTACCTGAAACTCTGTCTTGTTTCCATCTACTTATTTAGCTATTGACCTCAGGCAAATTACTTCCTATTTTCTGGCTGTAGTTTCATCATCTTTCAAGTAGAGGTACCAAGTCCTGCCTACTCAGCAGAGGGCTTTTGAAAATCCCAGGAAACTATATCTCCCCAGCCTCTAAAGTAGTGTCTGCCACCAAATAGGAGCTCAACATACCTGTTGGGCTCAACTCATATATAAACACTGAAGCTCTGGGACAAAGGAGAGATGACATCATTATAATTATCACTATCCCTAGGGACCACTGGGAAGGTGGCCTGGGCACTCATCTCAAGTTCTCTGGGTTTAGGTGGTCAGTCGAGTCCGGAATCCAGGAAGGCGGCCTTATAAGGCCTTTCAACCACGCAGTGCAAGCCCCATATCCACCTACCAAAATGCCCAGGACCAAGCTGGCACAGATAGATTCCTGGCCTCAATCTACCTTGACTACCCAGAGTTGCTTTCTTTACCCTGTACTAATGATGCCATTTTACGAATTTAAAACAAACATTTCCCACCCTGTTTCAAGACCTTGGGAAGGATAATATGGGGGCTCTCTTAAACAATCCCCGCTAATACCAAGCTCCTGACAAGGATGTTATAGGAAAGGATGCAAAAGGGACCGTGGACATGGTGGGGAGTGATGGGTCTGTCTGCCAACTGCCAAATACAGGGCAGCTCTGCTATGTGTGATCAGACAAAACAAGGAAACTTTAAAAAGCCAAGGGATCTGCACCAATCACCAGCAGAAGGGATGCCAGGCAGGCCGCCTTCTTGACAAGCTGGAGGCAGTGTGAACACAACAGTCTCTTGGCCCTGCCCAGAGTCTCCCCTTAAGGTCCCCAGAGCCTGCCTCCCCACAGGGAAGGGAACGGATGTTTGCAGCCTGACGTGGGGTGTTGGCCTCAGGCACAGTGGCAACATTATGCCTGCCAGAGAGCATGGCAGTGCTGTCATCCCTGAGGGGTTGCCAAGGCAGCCGTTTGCTGGGTGTTTGGCTTAGGAGAGAGGATAAGGAACCCATAGCCCCTCCGCCCACACCCATACCCCAGGGAAGGGGTGATGTTGCCTGACCGGGGGCTGATGCCTGCTGGGTCAGGTTCCATTTCCTATGAATCCTGCACAGAGGAATTGTTCTCCCACACCATGGCCAAAGGCCAATACTCTCCATGTCCCCCACCTCCTGGCCCTTGCTGGGATAAGAAAGAAGAAAGAGGCCTCAATCTGCCCCCCATGATGATCCCTCTCTGCACAGTCCTGCCATGCCTTACAGTCAACCCACATTTGTACACTGACATGCACACAAACCCAAATGCACACATACCTACACAACATGCATCCAAATGTGCCTCCCACCTTCCCGCAGGAGCTCTATTCACAGGAAACCCACTCTGCCATGTTTCCTCCTAGCTTCTCCCTCCCAGAGTAGGGCATCAGGCAAGAATAAAGAGCCTGCCTTCAAGTGCCAGCTGTCCTGGCCACATGCTTATTTCTGGGCAAGAAGGAAATGTCCCCAAGGATTAAAGTGTGTCACAAAACCATAACACAGGAAATTGCATCCTATAGCGGGGAGGGGGCTTCCGCTGACTAAAAATATATTTCCCCTCCTCCCAACTTCCGCCCAGAAGTTGACAAGAAACTGGGTAAAATTATGAATTCAAGGAACAGCGACAACGAGGAACAGCCACGTGGCTGACAAAGTGTGCTGATGAGATTCAGCCCTGGGGAAGGGGCACTTACATGCAGGAGGGAGCCCGGAGCTCCTTCACATATTTGCATTCTCCATGGATGCAGAAGTCCTTGTACTTCCGAAGACATGGGTCCCTCTTCTTCCCTAACCCCTTGCTCTTCTTCTTTCTTTTCCCATGCTCCTCCTTGCTTGGTGTGGCCAGTGCTTGTGGCTTGGAGGATAAAGTGACTATAGGAGAAAAGCATGCTGTTAAAGTCTGATCCTTTGGGAAGAAGATCAGAACAGCACAGTGCTTAAAAGGAGTATATACTCTTTGATCCCACCTGAAGTCAGAGATCTGGGAGGTCCCCTTAGCTCAGTGCCTCCCAAGAGGCAGAAGGAAGAGCAGGAAGATTGGGCAGAACCACCAGAAAGAGGGAATCTTAGTAGGAAGTAGAAGCTAGGGTGGGTCCCAAGGAAGGCATTCATAATCTCAGCATAAGATCCTCATTCTCACAATGCTTTTGTTGAGTAACTGCAGCTCACTGGGCAATTCTACCAACCTCACCTCCATTCCACTGTCCACCTTACACCCCGGTCTCCTACTCCCCCATGCCCACTGCTTTCTATTTTGGCCTTAAATCAGCCTCATTTCCTGATGCTGTACTCAGTGACCCACTTGCAGAAAAACAGTGTCACATGCAAAAATTGCTTCTAGAGAAAGTACCTAGAGATTTTGGGGTTGGAGGGCTCCTAAAATAAGAACAGTGTTCATGTGTTCAGGTGGTCCCCTCTGGGGCATCCCTTAGTACCATAAGCCCAGGGCAGAGCCTGGCTCAGGAACAGCAAGCAGACCAGTCCGGGTCAGGGCCTTGCTTCTGCAACTTCAAGCAAAATATTTAACCTGGATGCCATTTACAGCTCACCCACTTTCTCAAAGATCCATTCATATTTAACCCACAATGTCCTGTTTATAGCTCTCTGGGTTGCGGGGTACAGGGTGTACAAGGGATAGAAAAATGGAAAGTGAGGAACTGTCCAGAAGGAACTGGAACAATGATGACTTCCCACTTCTTTCCATGCTTCAGAGAGACTGAGGGAAAAACAACCTCACCCAGACATCCAGCTGGGACTGACCATGGACTATGCCCATCAGCCCAATCCCACCCTCTTATCTCCCATCAGGAAAAAGGTGCCCACATCCATGACTACAGCCATCTGTCTAGCAGAAGGGTGAGCATGATACATTAGACTAGAGACTTAGAATCTCAGGCTGGAAGTGACTTCAAAGAATAACATGCGGCCAGGCACGGTGGCTCACACCTGTAATCCCAGCACTTTGGGAGGCTGAGGCAGGCAGATGACCTGAGGTCAAGAGTTCAAGACCAGCTTGGCCAACATGGCAAAATCTCATCTCTACTAAGAATACAAAAATTAGCTGGGCATGGTGGTGCATGCCTGTAATTTCAGCTACTAGGGAGGCTGAGGCAGGAGAATCGCTTGAACCCGGGAGGCTGAGATTGCAGTGAGCTGAGATCGTGCCATTGCATTCCAGCCTGGGTAACAGAGTAAGACTATGTCTCAAAAAAAAAAAAAAAAAAAAAAAAAAAAGAATATCACGGCAGGCAGAGTGATTTACTCAAGGTCATGCAGATTGGGATTAGAACTGTGGTCTCTGGACTCCACTCCAATGTCCTTCCTTATCACATTAAGCTGCCTCACACCACCCCATCTCCTCCTTCCCTCAAGTCTGGAGCACCTGAGATGCTGAGCCAGGCATGAATGGGCTCTGAAGTCCATAGACCTGTGCTCCAATTTCAGCCATATGACTGTGGGCAAGTCACTTAACCTCTCTGAACCTCAGGTTCTCAGGCAAATGTGGATAGCAAGAGTAACTGTCTCAAAAGGTTGCTGTAAGTGTTAAATTAACCAGGATAACATATCAAGTGCCTAGAACACAGTAGGCATTTAATAAATGGTAGCAGTCATTTATTTTAAGTGATAGGATCCCCAGACTTGAAAAATAGTCCTTGCCCAGCAAAGCCAAGAGAAGGGAAGAGAAGTAGATGCCAGCAACCCCACAGTCCCTATTTCCTTTCATCCAGTCCCCGGCCACCTCAGAGCTCAGAAGTGATGCAGGTGGTCAGAGGAACCCAGTGACCAGAGCTTCCAGGAGAGCAAGGCAGGAGGGCCAAGCCAATCAGAAAGGGGTGGGAAAAGGTGCAGGGTGACAGCCAGGCTCCTGCTGTGGAGAAGGAGCAGTGAGTCAGGTCTGCAGAGGTATGAGGAGCAGTTGTGTGGGTGTGGGGTGGGTGTGGAGTGAGTCACAGCCCAGCCCTGCCCAGCCTAGGAGGAGAGGGCCAGGAGAGTTCAGGCTGTTCAGGCCATGGGCAACCCCAGAGGGCCACTGGGGGAGGATGGAGCATGGAAGCCCAAGGCTCAGTTTTGGAGCATGTGCTTGATTCATACAAACTAGAGAGAGTGAGTACCCAAGGGAAGCTCCTGGGAAGGA